CATACACCCCATCTATCTATCTATCTATCTATCTATCTATCTATCTAGCCAGCCCCCTGGTATCTGCAAGGAGCACTGTTAGCCCTGCCCTGGGTGGGGAAAGCCCCAGTGAGAAATCCTGGGAATGTGAAGGGGGGGGACTATTGGAAGACACCCTCCCCCAGCTGATCCTAGCTTTGCTCCCCAGAGACTGTTTGGGAGGCCCGGGGTCAATGCTGGAAGGGGGGGGTGTCTGTCGGTGCAGGGAATCACCCCTTTGTTCTGATGGGGGTTTAACCAGGGGTATCTGGGGGGGGTCCCCCTCCCCACGCTCGGCGGGTACCTCCTCTGCTTTCGCTGTCTGCTGGCTTCACCTGGATCGGCCGGTTCATCTGCAAGGGGGAGAGAAGGGAGAGACATTGAGGACGTGTGCAGGCAGCCCCTGGGGCTCAGAGATGGAGCCATCCAGCAGCCAGACCCCACACACCCCCAACAACGAGGCATGAGCCCCTCTTAGAGAGAGAGAGAGAGCCTTATCCCATCATACAGAGGGGAAACTGAGGCACAGGGTGTGTCTGTGACTTGCCCATGGTCACCGGGTACGTCAGAGCCCAGATTAGAGCCCAGGAGTCCTGATGCCTAGTCCCATTAGCTATAACCATTAGATAACACACCCCTCCCACAGCCAGGAATGGGAACCCAGGAGTCCTGGCTCTCGCCCACGGCTGGAATGGGAACCCAGAAGTCCTGGCTCCCCTTTATTTAGTGTGAATTTGATCCAGTGGGAGGTGCACACCTGACACCCGGGAGAGCCAGGCCTGCGCAGCACAGGGCCAGTTTCCTACCTATTGCCACAGCCCTGCCCTGGAGGGGCCCCAAGGACAGCTCGGTTTGTAGCCAGCCCAGGAGTGGCCTCGCTGCGGTGGCTGCCAGTCAAGCACCTGTCCCTGGCTACTGACCTGAGACTCACCAAACAGCCAGGGTTGGAATTGAACTGGGGGCAACGGCCCCGTGTCCCATTTCCCGAGGCCCCAAGTCCCCTGCCCTGGGGCCGGATGAGAGCCGGAGCCCCCTGGAGGGGAAAGGCCCCATGTCCCATTCCCAGCCCCCCTGAGCCAGCCAGTCCTCACAGCCTGGGGCCGGAGCAGTCCTGGTCACCTAGTGGGGAAAGGCTCCAGAGCTGGCCTGGCTGGACACAAGCTGGTGGGGGAAGGAGTATCCAGCAGAAACCACTGACCCCCCCCCCCCAACCCAGTGTCAAAGACCCCCTCCCCAACTTGCTGCAGGAACACTGAGAGCAGAGAGCGCCCCCTAGTGAACACCCCGCCCCCTGCACCCGGCGCCCCCTAGAGCCACGCTGGGGCTTTGGGTCCAGCGCTGACTGGGAGGGGACAGCGCCCCCTGCCGAGCCCTCCACCCTGCTCCCTCCTGGAGCAAAGCCAGCCGGCAAGGGGAGGGTTAAAGCAGAACCGGGAGATTAACTCAGCAGGTCGCTGGGACGAGTTCTGTAAAAGCATCTGTAATCATATTAAAGGAAAGCAGCAGCTTGCAGCAGAGAGAGCGGAGGGGAGGCAGCCCCCCCTCCACTGCATGGTAATACCGTAACCCCCACCCCTGCCCCCAGCACGTGGGGTGACTAGATAGCAAGTGTGAAAAATCAGGCCACCTTTTTCCGCGGGGTGGTGGTGGCACAGTTGCATATATAAGACACAGCCTTTAATATCGGGATGCCTGGTCGCCCCACCAGCACCGCCCGGAGCAAGGGCATCTGGGAAGAGAGAGACACCCCACAGCCAGCAGCCGGGGAGCCACTGCACCAGCAAAACCCCAGGGGCGACCGTCGTCTCCAGACGCTGGGAAGTTTGGGGGCCACAACGTGAGGGTCCCGCTCCTGATCCTGAGCATGTTGATCCCGAAGGCGGGTGGGCACCATGGCCAGGCAGGGGAGCAGCCAGAGGCCCGGGGTTGACATGGCAAGGCAAGAACGGAACCCAGGCGTCCTGGCTCCGAGTCCAGCAGCCCGTGCACTGGCCCACCCCTTTCTCCCCACGCTCCTGGCAGTTCGGCCGTCCATGGAGGTGACTGGCCATTGCCTTCGAGAGAGAAATTTAGGCCCAATTGACAATACGCCAGGAGGCCACATTGAAACCGTAGGGGTCTGTGTCTGTTCAGACAGCTGTCAATCAGGGCTAGCCCCCCCTGATCTGGGCTCGTCACCATGGCAGCTGAGCGGTCACCATCTTTCCTATATTGACCCTCCCAGCACCCCTGAGAGGCAGAGCAGGGCTCTTATCCCCAGTGTACTGATGGGGAAACTGAGGCGCCAGTAGTTCGCTGCCTCACCTGATTGACTTTTGAGGATCTGGCCCAAGGTCACGCAGGGAGTGCGTGGGACAGTAGGGATCTGAACTCACAAGAGCTCTAACCACTGGGCCATCTGTCCTCCCATCCATCCTTCCCTAAGTCATTGGGCCCAGCTGACAGTGGCCCCAGCCCCCTGTTTACCTGGAACCACGTGCAGTTCCAGCGCTGCCCCGCTGACTGAGCACAGGGCTGGTGTGAGCAGGAACACAACTTATCCAGGAGATCAATAAGAAAAAGGCTCCGGATTTGCTCGCTAGCCATAGGACCCGAGGGCACCTGTTCTTACAGCTCCCACGCTCCCAGCCTGGTCACAGCCATGGGCAGGCGGAGGCATTGCCAGGACGCCAGCGTGGCTATTTGGCCCCAGGCTGGGTCTGGGGGATGGAGACTGCAGGCCGCGGGGGCGATGCCTGACGTTGCAGCATCCCGGTGCCCTGTGATGCAGCTGGCATTTCTGGCAGGGCATTGCCCACCCACTCTGCCTGCTCTTTGCACCTTGTGTCTCTCCAGGAAGGACATACATGGTGGGCGGGGCTGGGGGGGGGCATGGATCCCACCCAATCAGTGTAATTAAAGCCCTGCTCATTGCCCAGTGGATTGATTATTACTAAGATACCGAGCTCTATTGATCAGGCAGAGATGGTGTGTATGTGCATCCCTCCATCCCGCTCGGTCGGCCTCCCCAGCAAAAAGACTGAATCGAGCTCCAAAGCAAACGCTGTCTCACCGGCCGGCCCAGCACAGGCTAGACATGGGCTGTCTGGCAACCTCACCCCCAGCCCTTTTCAGATCAGCCGGGCTCTTTATCTGCCTGCTGGCTCTAACTGTCTGTGGGATCCACCTCTCCCTGTCATATCTGTCCATCTCGTCATCCATCCATCTCCCCACCTATCCATCCACCTGTCCTTCCAGCCAATCCATAACTGTCCATCCAGCCGCTAATCTAATCGCTCCAGCCATCCATCTCGAAGGCACATATCTCCCTGGGAAGCGTCTAGCCAGAGAGCCCAGCCCCCTCTCCAGACACTGCTCACAAGCGGCCTGTCAGTCACTGCTGTTTTAGGAGCAGGTAAACCCGTCGGACACAACCCTCTGCCCGCCCAGCAAGAGAAAACACGCCCCAGCTCTCCTGCCCTGCATCTTCCTCCACAGCCTCCCGCCTTGCTTTGTTGCCAGGTTATCTCTGGTTGCCACAGCAACCGGTGCCACATGGGGACCGCTTTTTCCTCTCCTGGTAAAAAACCAACAGGGTCTGGCAGCATCCCAAGGAGCCGGGGCTTTTCAGAGTGGCGTGGCGCCCTGAGTCGGGCACGTAGGCTGGCAACCAGGCACACGGGCCGAGCCCACAGAGGGGCAGCGTCCCTGAGTTTTCAGCCCCATTTAGCGCATCGGGAATGTGGTCCTGGCAGGACAGACCTAGAGATCAAAGGCCTCGGCGTATGCCTAATGCCAAAGTTCCCAGGCCGCCCTCCCACCCTAGCCTTGATCCACCTCGAGGGGGCAAGAGGGCAGCTTGGTGCCCCCTGAAGCCCTCTGGGCAGGTCTTTCTTTATTCGAACGTGCATGATGGTAGCATCTGGATGCCTCAGTTGAGCACAGCCCCTGCCCCAAAGAGCTCGCAGCCTGAATAGACAAGGGGAAACTGAGGCACGGAGTGGGGAAGGGGCTTGCCCACAGTCACCCAGCAGAGGTGGGAATAGAACTCAGCTCTCTGAAGTGCCAGGGACATGCCCTAACCACTAGGCAACACCACACCACACCACGCTTCCTCCTGAAACTGGGGTGATGGGGAACCAGATAGAGACAGGCCCACAACTCCCATTTCACCTGGGCTGGCACCACTGCCCTGAGCTGGATTTGAACCGGAGGTGTCTGCTGCTCTCCCCCAGGCAGGGTTTGGGATCTCTGGGAGCACAGGGCCCAGAGCTGAGATGCAGCCACCTCTGGGGTGGGGCGGCTGCTTATGGAGAGAGCATATGGCCCAGCACTGAGATGCAGCCACCTCTGGGGTGGGGCGGCTGTTTAGACAGGGATCCCTTACCCATTATAACACCCTTGTGGCTGGGATGTGGACACCAGCCCCCCATGCCAACCGCCAGCCCCAGTGAATCACTGCAGGGTTATGCTCCACGGTGCATGGGGGCATAGCCCCATAGAGACATAGAGGTCTGTCCCCAAGCAGCCAGCCAAAATCCCCACTCCTGGTGCCCACAGAGACTGACTACGGGTAGGGCATTGGGGGTGGGTGTCTCTGGAGGTGAGGGCTGGGGGGAGACGTCGGCCAGGGCCGTCCAGCCAGCCTTGTCCCCCAGCGCTGGCATGAATCAGCTGATTAGCCGTGGGCTTTACAACGAGCCGGGAACTCGGGGGGCTGACGAGGAAGGGGAATTAATTGCAATAACCAGGGATGTCCCTGCTCAGGCGCCTCACGTCACAGGGAAGGATCAAGGCCCGGGTTGGGGTTTTGGGGCGCCCCACCCCACACCCCGCCCCCCCACGAGCCGCGTCGCTTTCTGCGTCCATGACAAAGTCATCGCAACCTCACCTCGCGGGGCCGTCACGCCAGGGGGAGAAAAAAGCAGCAGATGCCCGGTAACCATGGCAACCAGAGAATATGAACCATAGCAACCGCCCACTCATCCCCAATTTACCCACTGCGTTACCTAGTAACCATGCTGACATCACCATTTATCTTTATAAACAACCCCAGGGTGGGGGGACGATTTGAGCAAAGGGGAAGAAAAACAAAGGGTTGGGGGGGGGGGGGGGGTAAAATCTCCAAAATATTCAAGTGGGAGGTAGAGGGGGAAGCCCCAAGGGGAAAAGGCAGAAATACCCCCCCCAACCCCGCTAAATAGCCATCCCCTGGCAACTGTTTATAGAGGCCTCCCTCGCCTGGTGCTGAGATGCAGCCATGTCTGGGGTGGGGGGTGCAGCGGCTGCTTATAAAGGTACCAGGTACCCTTCACCTGACAGCAACATGCAACCACCTCTGGGGTGCGGCATGGGGAACTATTAATACAGGGCT